TTGGATTACTCTTGCAGCACAGATGGCTCAGAATGGGTACCAAACAGCAGCTCCAGGATCTGTTCAGAGCATTTTGTCAATAATGCCAAAAGCAACATCGCAGCCCATCCTGCGTACCTCCCCACACTCTTTCCAGCAGTGTACAAGAGGAGTTCAGTGATTCCGCAGGACCAAGCGTCAAGGTTTGACAGGTGAAGTTTTGACCAGCTTTAGTTATAACTTCAGCGGTTATTGTATCATTGAACTTCAGTAGTTAATTTGATATCCTTGTATATTTCTCCGAAAAAGTCACTATTTTTGAATATTTTAATTGCAGATATTTTAATACATTGATTTCGAAGTCAACAACATCTAAAGCTAACTGTTATTATGCTACTGCAGTGTTTCTCAAACTTGAGCTGGGGGTCGTGAAGCGCCTCGAGAACTGAAAAGACATATGTACTTGGCTTCTCTGCGATGGCGTGGACGAAAACAAACTACAGGTCACTGCTCCGCATCGAACCGGAACTAAGATTTGCGGTGTCCAAGATCTGCCCTCGTTATGAGAAACTGCTAAAACAAACAAGCTTGCTCTTGCCATTATAAACAGTCATTCCTCGTGGCTTGCACTATTTTGTGCCAACGGTTTCTTGCCCGGCTGATTCGCTTTTGACCATATTAACCGCAATTGAAATTTGAACACCAATTTTGTAGATTATTGTTTGTACATCGAAATCGAAAAGCCTGTGTCATTGCAAAAATCTGCAGGGGTTCGGGGCACCGCTCAATATTTGTTGTTTTTAATGGGGAAGCAGCGTGCTACCGGGTTAGGCGATCGTCCAGCTTATGATCGTGATTTCGCGGGCACTGCATGAATAGCTACAGGACATTCTGTTTGTGACTCGCATCAATCTAATATTGTTTGCAGATGGCATCACAGAGTAGCAAGCAGACAAGCATCGAGTCTGGGGGGTCCCGCTTCATCTTTGACTGGAAGCACAAGCAGGGAACGAACTAGCAGCGGCAGCCGAGGTGGGCATGAGGGCCTGCACCTTGTATGTACAGCCGTTGAATTCAGAGAGGAGAGACAACCTTCCGTGGTAAGGCTTTTGCATCAACAAGTGTCAAATGTAACATTAGGATTTGTCAGACCCAAGTCAGTGAGGCGTGGGCACTTCTGGGGGGCACAAATGGGCTGTTGTTATTTGAACTTAGCTGAAAGCTCTTCATGGTTGTTTTGAAAAAAACAAAAACAACAACAAATGTGCTCACTGTAGTATTCAAATTTTTTGTTAAAGCGTTCTACACGACATAAATGGTGCCACAAACCAACCACTGGCGCCCGTGCGCTCAGGCTGGCCGCCCCCCAGGGTGCGCAGCCCCATGCTGTTGACCATTAGTAAATCAGTGCGGCTCGAAGTGTCACTCGTGTCAGACGGGTCTCATTCCGGGGCTTTTCCCGCCCCAGGCTCCACCGGTCACCGCCTCATCGGCATGCGAGATCCTCGTCATTTCCGCAGGCCTGCGTGGGCTCTGCTCTTCTACTTTATTTTTTGCATTTTTCTTTTTTTGTAATTACTACACTTACATGTTAGGTTCACAACAGGTGTTGAAGCGACACTAGTCTGAAGTCTTGGGGTACACAGTCTTGCTCATTGTTTGTCAACTTGGCTCTTTGTCGCATCACTATGGTATTCACATGGATTATGGGAAACCTGTCTGCTTTTTAGGAAGATCAGACTGATGACCCGGAGATTAGTGCAACAGATGGGATCCTCCAGGACCAAGCATCAGGGCTTGACAGGTAAAGTCTCAAAATAGTTTCAATTATCGCTTCAGTGCCCAGTTTACCTCCTTAGCTCTCTTACCCTTCCCTCGCAGTGACCGAAGTGGCACCTGGCCTGTGTTTCGAATTGTTGATATTTACAATATGCAAACTTATGCAGTAAATATTCCAGTGAGGAAAGAAATTAGACTCCGGATGTGTTTTCTACCGTGATGTTTGACTGCCGACTTAAGCAAGCTGCTTATTAATTTTCATGATGCTTATGCAGCCCAGGCCCAGCTTGGCATCAAAACTCTATCGGCACACAGGATCGGCAGGACGGCCTGCTAGAAAGTGCTGCAGAATCCAGTGAAACAGCACAGCGTTCAGTGGTAAGATTTCTGTATCAACCAAGTTGAAGTTACTAATAGAATTTCTTGAACTCTAATCAGCAGAACGTGGAATTCATAAGGGTACACATACATATTGCTTTTACTGTGGCGTGCGAAAATGCCCTAACAATTATCTAAAATATGTGCAACCAGATATCTAAAACAAAAAACCAACAAATGCGCATGCACATTGTGGTTTACAGGACCTCATGGGACACTACTCCGTTTCACCTTACGTCCGGACGCAGCGGACATAAGGTGAAACGGCCTTGGATTGGCACCGATGGCTCGAAGCATCCGCTGTGCCCGGACATTAGGTGATACAAAGTATAGCGCAAAGACTTCTGCGGCAACGTCTTGTAGATTTAAACATGAGGAAGATACATAGAAAAGGGGGGACAGTAAGTCGCTGAAGCTCCAGCGTTTATTGGGGATGTTGCATGATATAGGACATCTTTTGCAGTTTTAAAATTTTGAAATAATCTTGTCAATTTCACAATTAAGTCCACCTAAAATAAACACCATGGCATACGCAAAGGGTGCAATCGAGCTGGCGAGTAGGTACATATGCTCACTTTCAAGTAATTGTACATGATTTTCGAAGAGACTGTTTGGTTGTGCTCTACGTTTGCTTTCGGAGCTCTTGAAAAAAAGCCCCTCATTTTAGTTTGTGCGATGCCTGCCAGTGGCAATTTCATGTGTATGTAAAGCAGTACAACGACAACAAAAGACTAGGCAATGGCCTTCAAGGTGCCATTTTACCAGTTATTTGCGTCTATTGAAATACACGGTCTACAATGTCGGACCCGTGATGGCGGCCGCGATGCCCCATCAGTCCGAGGAGATCAAATGCGTCGGAATAGTGCAACAGCACGGATTGGCGAATCATTTGTAGACAAACCTTTCGCTTCGAAACAATACCACAGCTTCTGTGGGCCGTGTTGAGATGTTCATTCCATTGCTCGTCCTGCTTCATCCGCCATGATGCAAGGCAAATCTTCATCTCTTACGCTAGTTCACGTACCGCTAACCGTGACGATCCAGTCAAACTATTCCAGAGTTGACTGCAATTTCCGCACACATTCACAGTTGCATTAATGAATAGGGGGGGGGGGGAGGGGGGGGAGGGAACCGTTTGCCTCATAACGGCTCACTAGAACTCCCAATTGTTATGAACTTACTCTTTGTCATGCCACTTTATTATTTGCACCAATCGTGACAAATCCATATACTTCTAGGGTTCTCAGACCGACGACATGGAGATCTGCAAGGGGCAGTTTTCGGTCTACATTTCTACCCTGCAAGATGGCAGCGGCTCAACACAGATTACACACCCCAGGGTGCCGTCTGTGTCGTCACGGCAATCTGGTCCTGACCAAAGAACAGGGTGCTTCCAAGGCTACGAGAGTGTCCGTCATTCTCCTACGTCATTGGAGGACTTGTGCAGTGTGACCACAACCGTGTTTGCCCTGCTTCTGAGCATGCTTCCTGTAGGTTCAGAACGATCGGTGGACACATCAATGGCAAACAAGCTCCTCTTGTTTCTGATGAAAATGAAACTAGGGATGAGCTACTCATCACTTGCAGTGTTGTTTTGTATACACCGCACCACAGCATCACGGCATTTTCGTACTGTGCTTGCATCACTGTCTGCTGCAACTGAAAAGTGGATTTTTCGCCCACCATCTTCAATCATCCTGTCCATGCTGCTCCAGTGCTTTAAGGCACACTATCCAGAATGCAAAATGATCATTGATTGTACCGAAGTTCGCACAGAGGAGCCGGGCTCTGTGGCTCAACAGCGTGCCTTGTATTCTGCATACAAATCAGGGTACACTCTGAAGTTTCTAGTCGCAGTGACTCCAAATGGGATGATTTGTTTTCATTCCAAGGCCTATGGCGGACGCTGTTCCGACCTCCATATTACTGTAGATTCCCAGTTTTTGAACTTGGTTGAGCCAGGTGACGTGATATTAGCAGACAAGGGCTTTCCGGGTATTAAGGCTAGCGTAGAGGGCAGTAATGCTGTGCTTGTCATGCCTCCTTTTTTTTCAGGGGCTGGGCAGTTTAGTTGCCAAGAGGTAGAGGAGACGTACAACATTGCTCAAGTCCGTATTCATGTGGAGCGAATGATTCAATGAATCAAAGTGTACAACATTCTAAACACTCGGGTACCAATTTCCCTCATACCAGTAATGAGCGATGTTTTTCATATGTGCTGCATTCTGGCGAACTTGCAACCTGCCATAATTGCATCACAGCCATGAGCCCGAGACTAAAAGTGTAGAATCAGGTTGTTTCAAACCTATCGCCGGCTACAATCTAAGCTCATTATAACAGACCTGGTTACGACAGACACTTGGATATAACATACCGATTTGTAGAGTTTGGTTGGTTTTCCTCTATGCGGCCATTGACTCAACTTCACATCTGCATACAACATACTCCTTTTGCAACAGACCGAAATCTTGGTCGAAACCAAGGTCTGTAATAACGAGCTTAGACTGTATACACCTTTTCCAAAAGGGCGCAGCCGTCTTGAATGGCGTCACTTCTGGTATGCGGTGAAACATTGTTTTGATCTCTCCGCACCGCTGGAAGTTGTTTACAAAAAATGCATGATTGTTACTCCTTGTTTTGCCTCGCCTATATTTTCTCGCATATTCCAGCTTGAAATGTGCCATTTTTTCGTTCCACCAAGCAGATATGGAACCCACGTAACCACAAGAAACGGAAAACATCTATAGGCCAGGAATGGAATGCACTAACAAACTACATCTGATATTTCGTTTCGAGTCATTGAAATAGACCTGGTAGTTGCCACCAAAGTTTGTTTATTTGTATTTGTTTTTGCAATACTAAGAATAAAAGGGCTTCTCAAAAGAATGGCATGAGCTTATTTCATGACAAGCAATACAAAAAAACTCTTATCTATCCTATTTTAAGTACAAATAAGTAACACGGGTTATTACTCCTCTACATGCAAGATGGCACTCTTTATTGAAAAAAATGTCCCCCCTTTTCAGCAAATGACTATGAAAACGACTCGCTTCCAAGTTGATGTTACATGTGATAAAAAACAACTACAAACACACTTGGAGATGGGGAAGATTATGTACAGTACTTCTTAACAATTGCTGGCAAGTAATGACAGAAAAAGAAGCCTTCCAAGTGCCGGATGGCTGTCTCCAAGAAAACGTTGTCTCTCTCCACAGCAGCAATTGCACTGTCCACACTCGTGTACACAAAGAAAAAGCACTCTCCCAGGTTAAGGACGTACATGAGGACTTGAATTTGAGTATAGTACTTGTGAGTGCGCCGTAAACACAGCCTACCCTCTTTGTACACGAGGTACTTCACGAAGGTAACCTCAGCGGTTGAATCTATGACCGCAGAGTCTTTGATGGAGTGCGGACACTTGATCTCAAGTAGAATGGTTCCTTCACCGGTCGCAAAAAGACCATCGGGGCTGCCACACAGCCATGGCTGCTGGTTGTGCACAAGCAGCCCCACCTAGAATGGACACAGAGCATTTATCACATCTAGCAAACAATTAGGAGATTAGAATTATCATACAGTGGTGCCACAAAGCTCACATATTGTTTAGCAAGCCGCCTTACATTTGTAGGCTATTGACACTTCCAAACTTGTGGTCATATACTCAAAGACTATATATAAATGCCGTACCTCCACAACACGGGCCCCGACTTTCACTTCAAATGCACTCCTCGCCACTGGCTCGGTTCGCAAGCCTGCATGGGAAATGTTGGTAGAACCAGGTCTTAAAAATTCAGAGCACTCCTATTGAAATTGGAATATAACTTGCCATAACGTGTAGCATCACATGAAAACCATTTTGCACCAAGCAGGCTCTTGGAGAGGTCCTCGGGGGTCTTCCTGGATCTCAAAATGGTGTGCGCCATGGAGCTCGTGATTCGCACTTTCCGCTCTTTGTACCACCTGTAGAGGTGTGAAATGCATTTTTATTAGAATTGCAAAAGATAAGGATTTGTTGCAGGCTTCTTATGGCTTGGAGTGTAAATAACAATTGAGTTGCCTTATGCCTGCTATAACAAAGAAAAAAAAATCATTGAAGACACTAAAAGACCTTACCTAGCACACTTCGACTGCTGCAGTGTGGCCATACACAAGCTCAGGGGGCTGGAGCAGACAACATTATTATAAAAAAACGAGGCCTCCAGTCGACTCATGTGCGCCGAGTGGTCTTTCGGGGCCACCCGAAGTACGGGATATGTCCCGGTCACCTCTAGGGTATGGTACGCTGGCATCTCTGCACTTGGGAGAAGCTCCAGCACGGTCAGTTCCTCCACTATCCCAACGGCTGCACCCACCATGTCCTGAAGTAATCTCTCGCACTCCAGGTCCACTTGGCACCTGTTCATCTGTTTTAGCACATTTGTGAACGGTGAGTTTATGCCGTCGAAGTGGCTTATAATATAAGCTGGCGGGAAACGAGCTGGTGGCCTCCCTCCAGCAAACACCCGGTCTTCTGAAAGGCAAGAGGTCGAGTGGTGAAGCAGACATCGAATGCATTTAGTTCAAACGCGCAAGCGAGTCACGCTAAGAACCAGGGGAGGGGTCTTTGGGGGGCTGCAGCCCCCCTTCCCCCCTCCCCCAAATTGTAGACGGGGGGGGGGGGGGCATGTGAGCAATTTAGCGAGCGACGAGCGACCTCAACAAGTGATGAGAGTCAGCGACGAGCGACGGAGATTTTTCACTGCCGCTCGTCGCGCCGCTTGATTTTTGGATTTCTAGAAAACGCCGCTCATCGCATTGGTCACTTCCTCCAGTCGCTTTCATGCCGAGCGAAAGCGGGTCCTCGCCGCCGTCGCGTCGCCGGCGTCGCTCGCCAAATCGCTTACATGCGGTTTATGTTCCTGGCTACGCCACTGCTAAGAACACACCTCCAAAAAGTTCACTGATGGGAGCCTTGTCCTTCAGTGTTGGCTTTCCCAACGGCTTTCCCCAAGCTTGAGGAAGACTCGTGCATGTCGCAACTTCATCCTCGCTGACGAACAAGGCGACCGCGGCGGCGTGTTTACAGTCGCCGCGGGCGCCGTAGCGGCAGTTGCAAGTGCTGTCGACGATCTCGCGCGACACGGGATTCAGCTGCATAAATAGAAATAAATCATAGAACATTTGCTGCAATTATTTAGCAGCCGTTATCAAATGAAACTGCATTCAATCGTTCCTTTACCTGAATCGTGATGTCGTACACGTTCTTGCCTTGCTGCGAATGGCACTTAGCCGAAATGTCACGGCCATACGTCTCTTTCGCCGCATACACATGCTTGCTTTCGAGAAGCTTTCTACCTTTTTTCAACCCTTGTTCACGAAAAAAGGAGTCAAGCGCATTAATAGGTTTAAAACCGCAAAACAACACGATGGGAGGCATCCTGCCGCTACTGATCCTGACTTACGACAGCACCGTGCACTCCCGGATGTCCGCCCGCCGCGACTTCCCATCGGTTGGTATTATTGCCGCCAGAGGCGCTGACGATCGTATGACAGTGGTGCCACCTAGTAACCTGCTCAGGGGCTATGACGATCCCGGAGTGGTTCCGCAGCGAGACTCGGGCTGTGATAGCCCGGAACAGCTTGTCTACGCAGCGCTGGCGTGGGGAGGACGATCCGCAGGCCTGGACAGCGACTGCGAGCTCTGAATGACGGGCGACAACCCGGCTCGGCGGGCCGCAGTGCCGGCTCTCGAAGACGGACAACTGGGAAGTATAGTAAACCGATTCGCAATCTTCTCGTTGTATTGTGTCACTCCCTGGGAGACGAGCGAAGCACATGCCGATCGCGCGGCGATTATAACAGAGAGACCCCACAAGTGGTGAAGACAACTCAAACCGGTGTCCAAATGCACTCTTAGAAAAAAAGGAGTCCAAAGGGAGTCACTGCTTCCATGACTCTCTTTGACACTTCACGACTCTCTTAGAGAGTCAATTTTTCGTGTGACTCTGTTTTGACTCTTCCCCTTCTCAGCGGGAGTCACAGGCCAGCAGCATTTGTACTACCGAAAAAAAAAAAATTATGAATGCTGCTTCGCGGCGTCCATCCGGCAACCCAAGCCCCGCCGTTTCCCTATGCACCTCTAGAAAGGGAGTCCGACACCATTTAGTTCAATGCTTTGTCGACATTTTATTTTCAATAATTGTGCAAAAAAAAAAATTAAAAAGGAAAGGAAAAAAAAGTAATGCACAAAGTTTCGTCGACATTCATTTTTCTCAAGACTAATTGTAAAAAAAAAACAAAAAAAAACGTATGTTTATTTTTCCATCGAACCTGGGTTCGCTTTGCAAGAAGCGGGCACCTTTCCACATAGCTACACCTGCGAGTACTCGTTTTGAGAATTCGTTTTATACGAGATTCAACAAGTTTCGCGTCGTGCACATTATTCGAAACCGAATCCTGCGTCTGCATTTTACATATTTCTAGAACTGTCGTGGGGTGCGTCTCTGGGAGCGAGTGAAGGTGCAGCAGCTTATTCAAGACTATACTCCGTTTCATACGTAGCATGCAACGCAGTCAAAGCTAGCGCACCGGTTTGCATCGCCGACCGTGTCCACGTTCACCCCATAAAATAGTGCGTCCCCTGCGAAAACACTTATAAAAAAGTCGAAAAAGGTGCCTCCTTGGATCTAGAAACTGATAGTGGTGTTATGATTTCGACGGAGCACACATTTTTTTCAATAAAAAGGAAACGATAATGTAAACTACTTTAGATTGTTTTCGTTTTCGTCCGTGCGGCAGCAGCTGCGGGTTTTCGGGTTGTGTGGCACTGGCTGGTTTTGAGAAGATGGCGTCTTACGCAACAAGCTCAAGTACCTCTCCTGCTCGGATATGTTCAAAGATTCGTTGTGCGCAGACCTTGAAAGAGTGCAAGCAGGTGATCGCCAACGTGTACGCGAGTAGAAGAACGCGTTTCCCGGAGAAGTCGGTCGTGAAGTCCTGGAGACGGTCAGTAACAACACCGGAGTGTGGGCCCGTACTGTCGCGAAGTACAAGGCGCAGTGTCTATCTGGCAAGCTGGCGTCCCCGGAGCGAAGACCTCGCCATGTAGAAGTTTCGAGCACGGGGACTGTCAAGCATGCCGAATTCACAAACAACGCCATTCGCCTCAAGGTGCATCGCAAGTACCCCGAGAGGGGGATTCCTACCCTTGACAGCTATTTCAAAATAAGCTGTTCAGGCCACAACTATTGTCGATTAACGTCCTATTATAAATTTTAGGGCAAGGCTGCTATCAGTGAGATTCCTCATTCCACGCTGCACGAAAAAAAAAATATACCTCGGTACTGCAGGCAAATAACACTTGCAAAGCGGCAGAGCAGATGGTAGAAATGGTGCCTCTCGGCGACTTACAAATAAATAGCAAGAAGAAAGGAGGAATCGAAATATGTAGTTCGGCAATGCGCACAATCTTGCACAAAAAATGGCTAAAAAAAAAAAAATCTGCGCGTCTAGAGGGTTTGAACCACTGCCGCCGAGACGTCGGTATCGCCAGAGCAGCCCTACCACTCGTCCACGAAACGCGCCCAGGAACACTTTTTTTTTTTTCTGTATTTTCATGCGCACCACATCAGTACCTTTGACAGCTATGCACGCTATGTATGAAAATGAGTATAAGTGCCCATTTTGAGAACCACACCACCACACTGCGAGTTGAAGCAACGCCGAAGGCTCGCGTCTCGCAGCGCCGCCTGTTGAATAACCATTCGAAGAGTTTGCACACTGTGAAGGTAAGAGCGCTCACACCGAAGAGCTCTCTTTACAACGCCTACACACACACAGAGCTCACAATTGAAGGGGGGCCACTGAGGTTTTAAGAGCCACTGATCGTAGCAATCGCATTCCAAAGACGCCGCGTTGTCGTAGATTGTTTTTCACCAGCTAGGTCCTATAGGGATGAGGCCAAGGCCAAGAAACGTAAAGGAACCAAGCAAACGGCGTGAGGCTCGCGGAAGCGGTTCGTGGGAGCCGACGACGTCCAAGCCACGATCCAAGTAGCCCTAGTAGCAGCCTTGCTTCCGAGAAGACTGTATATTCTTTCCGGCGGGCACACAATACTCCGACAGCATGCTTGCGGCTGATGTGGATTGCAAGAGGTGGCTAACAGGACGACCAATGCACAGAAAATAGGTTGAGCACAACACAGCACGCAACGATGGTCGCCGCCATGTTGAAATAAAACCAAGCTGAGACAGGCCAAGCTACAGTTTAGTATACGACGAAGCTGAGACAGGCCAAGGTTCAGTTTAGTACACAACCAACATACTTCATTACAAAGAATTAGATAAATGTTTAAACAAATTTTTTTACGTTTAATAGTTTTAATGTATGTCGATTAAAACAGAAACATTCACGTTGCGTCAAATGAGTTTCGTCGTAACCAGCGAACGTCGCCGCGTCGGCCGCGACGCCATCGCCAGCGTAACCAAAATCAAAAACAAAGCAAGCTGCAAACTTTCGGGCGGTTTCAGGCCTTTAGTGCCTTCGAAGAACGTTCTCCGAAAAACAAAAAGTGTCTCAGATGTCGCCGTGCCCATGGACCGAGCTGTGGGTTTTGTGTCTACTTGGTGAGTACTCGTCTATTCGCTTGACTTTTTCAGTGCTTCCTTTTCGGAGCGTTTGTGAAGTGTCCTTGTGTGTGTGTGCAGGAAGCGTGAAGGCGAACGCGGCGAACGTGTGGGGCTGCTTGTCGCACACGTGCTTTGCGCATGGGATGACCTTCGAGCTTTTCCCGAGGAAGTCCCGCAACCGACCTGTCAGCACGGCCTGTCAATGAGCGAGCAGTCCGATTGCGGGAACGCACACAGAGGCGAAGGTCCCACCGAAGCCGGAGGGGGGGGGACGGGACTTCGTAAGTGTATCGGGAGCTTTATCTCGTGGATCGGTGGACAAGGCGAGTTCTACAAATCGGGTGGCGCCTTGGTACGGCTGTGGTACCACCTAACTAGGCGGTGTGTTTCGCGGAACCCGACTGCTATGGTACCCATTATGTGCTGGCGCTCGTATTTGCACCCCGTTTGCTTTTACTGCGGGTGTTCGAAATCAGGTTCGTTTCTCTGCATTGTTGATGTTGCTTTCGAAGAGGTCTTTTTTGACTAGGGCACAAACTTTTTATACAAAATGCTGTATATGTTGCAGTTATTTGGTAGCCCTCTGGCGTGTATTGTGAAGGTTGTGGGAAAAAACGCGCATTGAGTAATTACAAAAAGATATACCGGGTGTTTTTGCGAAGACTTTCAAAAATCCTAAAAATTAGGGCGATTGAACAAAGAAGAAGCTCTCTTCGGGAACAAACTACGAGCCACGGCGGACGGCAGGAATTGCCAAAAACCTACTAATTTGCCAGATAATTAAAACTTGTTAATTAACTTTTTAATTAGTGGAAATAGACATATGATTCCAATTAGAAAGTTGCTGAACGTTATTGAAAACCACTAAATCAGTCATTTTCAGAAAGACTTCAAGCGCTTGAGAAGAGTAGTAGCGCACTAAAATTACCACTTGTGGAGCAGGTACAAGGCTGGGGCTAGATAAGAGGCAGAAAAATCGCGCGGGCGCCTTACCGCAAACGCTAGCCTTGTACCTGCTCCACGAGTGGCAACTTCAGTGCGCTACTACTCGTCTCACGCGCTCAAAGTCTTTCTGAAAATGACTGATTTAGTGGTTTTCGATAACGCTCAGCAACTTTCTAATTGAAACCATATGTCTATTTCCCCTAATTAAAAAGTTAATTAACAAGTTTTAATTAATTATCTGGCTAATTAGTAGGTTTTTGGCAATTCCTGACGTCCGCCGTGGCTGGTAGTTTGTTCCCGAAGAGAGTTTCTTCTTTTTTCAATCGCCCTAATTTTTAGGATTTTTGAAAGTCTTCGCAAAAACACCCGGTATATATATAATGTAGTGTCGAGTACCGTCCGACGGCACTCTTGCAGAACGTTCACGTGTCTTGCAGTGGCACTCCACTCACGTCTTCAAGTGCCGTCCGAAAGTCTTATGTAAAGCGAATTGTCAAAACGAGTTTTTCGAAGTTGTAGCGTAGCTTATTGGAAATTGTAGCATAGCTCGCCTCATAGGCAGCGTACCCGGATTCGATCCACAGTGTGGGCTTACTTTTTAAAATCTTTTTCTCGAACATTTTGTTTTGTCGAGGCATTTGGCGATATTTACGTCATTTCTTTTTTACCATTAACACTGGGAAAAAAAAAGGATGTTGTCGACGAAACTTTGCTTAAAGGGGGCCCTGCAACAACTTTTTGACTGGTTCTTAATTAACACCGAATTTGAGCGCACTGAACGTAGTAATTTAATCTTTTCCCAAATTTCGCTTTATTTTAAAAGTTATAGGCAATTTAGAATTACAAAAACAAACAAAAAATAACCTCTTTCATGACGTTGTAGGTCCTAGCTTGAGTGGCCGTGAACTAGAGGAGTAGTGAGCTCATCGAGCGCTCACGGCTGCTGCACTCCGTGTCGACGGCTCGAGAGGGCGCTACTAAAGCATATTCTGGATAGGCTGTATGAGACGGGTGGCCAGGGCGGCTTGCATTGCATTTGCTGCGCGATTAAGGACTAATTTGGCATAACACTTCATTGGCCACAAACTACAGCAAAC